GCTGTGTAAACCGCAACGCTGTCGTTGTTTCGTTGCGCTCTAGTTCCTTTGTTTCATTCTACCTGTTACGGCGTTCCCTTCTTGCTTTTGTCCCCCTGATTTGATTTTCCTCTCATCCTCTCCCTTCTTGTGGTCATTTTTACCTCGCATCGTTACACCCCTGCGTGTTGTGGGGGCGAGGCACTATAAAGCAAACGATTGCTGTTGTTCGTTAAGTCAAACGCTGTAATTGCGGCATGATGGGCGAGGCTGCGGAGACGAACCCTACCACGCTTCAGCCTCTGACGGAGGACCACCGGAAGCTTATTTTCTCCTTCATACGCGTGCTTCGCGAGGTGGATTCGCCCAACCCGGAGCGCGCGAGCGCCATTATCCAGCTGCTTGGTGAAGAGTACAGCGTCGACCCCGCTGGCGTCGGCGGCTCCCACGACGCCGAAGTGGATCTTCTGAAGGTTTTCCGCCAGGCGCTACAGAGCCACAAGTCGGAGGAAAACGAACAGCAGAAGGAGAAGTTCAAGGCGTTTCTTGAACTCATTGAAAAGAAGGGCTACTTTGCAGGTGCGGAGCCCGGGACGGAAGAGTACGCAAGCCGCCTGGAGAAGGCGAAACAAAAGTTCGAGCTAAGGAACAACCCATACCAGGGGAAGAGCGCCGAAGAGATTAAGAACAAGGGCAATGAACTGATGGGCATGTCAAAGTACAAGGAGGCGATCGCGTACTACACCAAGGCCATCGAGATGGAACCCAAGAATCATGTTTTTTTTGCCAACCGTGCTGCTGCACACACGCACTTAAAGGACTATAATAGTGCGATTATTGACTGCGAACACGCCATTGCCCTCAGTCCAGATTACTCTAAGGCGTACTCGCGTTTGGGTACGGCACTTTTTTACCAGGAAAAGTATGTGCGCGCCGTGGACGCCTTTTCAAGGGCATGTGAACTTGACCCCGCGAATGATCGGTACAAGGAAGACTTGAAACAAGCGGAGGAGAAGGTCAAAATGGTGGGATCTGCTACTACAGGAGGTGCTTCGGCGGGTGGTTTTCCCTTTGCGGGAGGGATGCCAGATTTCACGCAGATCTCACAAATGATGAACAATCCCCAGTTTCTTGAGGCAACCACACGCATGATGCAAAATCCACAATTCAGCCAGATGGTAGCAAACATGGCGTCAAGCCTTGGCGGTGGGGCAGCGAATCCGGCAGAGCTCCTTCAATCCCTTGGGAGTATGACCAGGAATGAGATGAACAGTGACGGTCTGCTGCAGACCCCGTTTGGAAACATTGACCGTGAAAGCCTTGAGAGACTTCAGCAGGAGGAGGTACAGAACAATCCCAAGTTCCGCGCCATCATGGACGACGTGCGGCAAAACGGATTTGCTGCCTTCCAGAAATACATTGGGGACCCTGACGTCATGGATTTAATGATTCGCTTCCAAAACACCGTCATGAATTCCGGCAACGCGAACTCGTCCCCTCAATAATAATAACTAAAAAAAAAGTGGGGATCACTATTTCCTCGTATGTTCTTCTTCTTTTCGATCTGTTTTTGCCCTCCAGCAAAGCGGAAAAGTGTAGGTGGAAATGAACTCAAAAAAGCTTATTCCGTTTCTCTATTATGATGATTACTGTAATGCTGCAGAAACGTTAGACGCTTGGGAGGCGTGGCGCTGCGGCGGCGGCGGGGGGTTTAAGGGACATCGAGGGAACGGAGAATGTGTTTGTGGAGAGCACTTTTTTTATTATTCGTTGCTTTTTTTTTTCTGTGTGTGTGTCCCCGAAGCGTTTATGAGGCCTATACTCTGCATTGATGCGGTGTGAAGTGGCAAGACAGAAAAGAAAGGAATGACCCGCAGCGACGCAGGCGACGTTATTGTCGTGTCCGAGCTGGAGGACGCTGATCGCGAATTAGTTCTTGCCTGCCTCGCGAGGCAGCTGGGGGGAAATGATTCGCCGTCAGCGCAGCGTCAGGGATCCGCATTCGTTTTGCGGCTGCCTGTGCCTCGGGCACTGTTGGACCACTTAAGCTCCGGCCAGACGGCGGACTCGATGCCGCGAAACGGTTCGCCCGCAAGGAGCGACGTGGGCGGTCTTCGGTGGCTTCGGCGAATGTTGCACGACTTTTTAGATGAGATGAGCAGGCGTGTTGCGATCCCAGCCGCCTCGCATAACTTAAACTCCAAGGGAAACTCTGACGTCAACCATGCGACGGTGTCCTCGTCCGCGTTGCTGCATCGGTCCCAAGCTTTGCTCTCAAACGGGTTATCCTTTGGTGATGTGCGGGCATCTTTGCTAGGTTTCCTGACCCTGAAATGGGGTGAGGGCGCCCTTGTTCGTCAAGCAGCTACCGACCTGCTGCGTGCCCTGCAGCAGCATCGAAACCATGATGTGGAGATGCAACTGTTTAGTTCTCTGCTCTCCTGCAGAGGTTACGATAAAGAGGACTTCGGGTTGTTTTTGCAGTGGTGGACAGAGTTGCAACGCCATTCCTCTTTGTGTCGTGCAGATGGGCGTTGGGTTTCTGTCAGGAAGGTATGGCTGTGTGCAAAACTCTGCCTTGCGGCATGTAGCCTCCCTTCTGCGGTGAAGGCGAACATTTCTTCACGGCTTCAGAATGTCATTGCACGTTGGTTCCGTCGCAGGGAGGGCAATAACAGGAGCAGTGACAAGAGCGGTGGGGAAGCTGTGAACCTTCATGAAACGTTGGGTCAGCCACATCTTTTTTCTCTACCGTACTCGGTGTCTGTGATGCGGGGTTATGTTGGGGTGTCCACCACTGCGCCGCAGCGAGAGGAACTTGTGCCGCGGCCTTCAAGTGATCACATGATATCTGCGGGGCACATCTTGGCTCTTCTGCTACTTAACACGAAAATGGAGAGGCTGCAACAGGGCTCCAACGGTTCACGGTCTTCCCCCACTGCGCACGAGACTCGCATCTTTTCCTGTACTGCGCCTTCGATGAGTCCGTACGGCACAGCGCTGCGGTTGACAGGGGGTAGCTCGGCGCATACAGAGGTGGGTGGTTGCACTGTCGTGTCCACTGAGACGATGAGGAATGCCAATGCAATGGCTGCAGGGGAGGCGAAACTGCACGGTGACCACCAACTTGACGCGGCCCGACGACGCCATACTCATTCGGGTATGAAGGAAGAAGTGAGCGCCGATGCAGCGGCAGTTTCCTTGCTCGATTATGAGGCGCGTTTCAAGATGGTGTTGAAAGGCCTCGAGGAGCGCAAGGCCAAAGCCTCGCAGCAGCATGAGAGGCGTTTGACGAGAACTTCCTTAGGCCTGTGCAAAAGATAATAAACATTGAACAGGTATGGCGAATGCCGTGTGTATTGTGGCAAAAGGCTGTGTGTGTGTGGAGGGAGGGGGGGGAAGTATTTATTTTTTTGTCATTATTATTGCCTCAGTGGGTGGGAACATGTGTTTGCATTCGTTGCTCTCGGTGTTTTTATTTACTACGCCCGTCCGTCGTTGTCGTTCTTCTTTTTTGCTTTTTTTTTGTTTTGCTTTGCTTCTTTGTGTGTTCTTGCTTCCCTGTGTATCGGCTCGCTCCCGCATCGGGTGGTGGGCTGGGACGAAACTAAGGTTCATAATTACTATCATTAATAGCAATGGGGGAGACCGACGTGGGCGATGCCGGGGTTCCGATTGCGTACTGCGTGCTCCTGGCCGAGTTTGACGTCGACACCGGGTCCTGCTTACGTGCAAAGTACCCGTCGGCGCCGCCGCGGGTGGCGGAAGCCGCAGATGTGGAGGGAAACAAGTTGTGCGGGGTCCTCGACGAGAGCGGCGTTGAATTGGAGGGACGGACTCATCGCTTGCAATTGGATGAGGACTATTGCGCAAGTCACATGCTTCCGGATGGCGCCGAGAAACAAATGATTAGTAGGACTATTTTTATTGTCAATAGAACCAAACCTGTGGACACGCATCGCCTCCCCGTGTATAGCTTCACGCTGCCGACGTCAACGCACCCGAGGGAATTGGAAACGGGCCCCTTGTGCTTCAGGGATGAGTGGGAATGGACGCGGGACACGGCACCTGCGGAAGTCTTCATCCCTGAGGAGTTAAATTACAACCGGGCCACCGGGGAGGTGTGTGTTCGCCGCAAGGGTGCTGTGGTGTGGGGGCCCGTAACGGTCCAGGCGGCCGATGAATTTCAGGTGTGCCCTACTATCCCCAAGAGAGTTGCTTCCTTTGCCCAGCAACTGCAGCAAAGGCTTGACCCCCACAACGCGGAGGTGGCAGGAGTGAGAGGTCCTCGTGAAAGCGATATGGCGCCTTTTGCGAATATTCCATTGACGTCATCCACAGTGTTTGCGGACTATTCCTTCCTTGTACATCATGTCGGCTCGGCGTATAATGGCTTTTTGATGCTGTCGACGCAATTGGAGCCGTTGCTGATCCCCAAGAAGGAGTCACAGCTATCGTCAGGAGGAGGTGGAACAACGACGGCGGAAGAAGAAGGCGAACCGGCAAGTGAACCCTTGAAGAGCGCGGAAATTTCACATGCGCTGCCCCTCTACGGGCTGTGTGCGGTGGTGACGCGCAAGGATTTCTCTGTTAGGCGTGGAGGTATCAGTAAGAGTGTGGCTCTTTTAGGGCCCAAACTGGTGTGGCTGGAGTCCTTCTTTCCGCTCCTTGTCGAGACGGCACTGCACTGCTGCGACATAAAGGGAAAAACAGAGGAGGCAATTGAGCAGCAGAGGGTCCTGGTGGGGCGCTGCTTTGAAGCTGTTGAGGCTGCGACGTTGTGTTTGCGGCGCGGCATTCGCGAAATGCCAGGAAATTCGTTGGAGCGTGAAGTTATGCATCTTTTCGCCACGAGTGGGAGACAGACGCATGTCACATGCGCGCTCTCTCCCTTTGGGTCAACGCACAACTTGCGCATTCCCCTTTTTCCTGCGATGTACGATTTTGATTTCTCGCGGTACGGTTTGGAGCAGATGGTTGAGGTTTGCGGTGCATCCTTCTGGACGTTGGTTATGGCCATATTGCTAGAAAAACGCGTGGTGGTTCTCTCCCGACAAGGGCTGCCTAATGATGTCTGTGAGGCGGCGTTGTCGCTGGGCCTCATTGGTAGCCTGCTGGACCCCAACTTCCTGACAACCAAGGTGTTTCCCTACACCTCCGTTAACGGGTTTCCCCACTTTAGCCATGTCCCTGGCTACGTTGTTGGAACGCTCAACCCTATTTTTGAGACGCAGCAAACCTGGTGGGATGTTCTGTGTGACCTCGACAATAGGTGCGTTCTGCTGTCGTCCGAGGCCAACAGCAGCGGCAGTAGCCCCAGCCACGGTGGTGGTGCTGGGAGCGCGGGTGGAAAAGCAGGCGGTTGGGCGGCCCAAGATGCGCAGTTTGCTAGGAACATTCTCAGTAGAGTCTACCGAATGCGAGCCATGCGGAAGCCGTCATGTGAACGACATCAAGCTGTTCGTCTGATGGTGGAGGAGTATCTTGCTTTGACTATTATGGTGGGCGAGGTGGACCGCCGCATCCTCAGCCGCGTTATACAAAATAGCTTCTTCACACCAAATTTAGCTCGTCTTCGGGCGCTGGTGCAAGGAGTGGCAATTTTGCGTGGCGCGTTGGAGCGTTTCCTTCTTCCCGGTGAGGATCCTTCGTTAGTTATTGCCGTGGCCACTCTGCGTCGAGCCAGTAGCTGCGATGAGATGGAGTTGCTACAAACACTGAGCCGCCTTCTCAGCTACGTGTGCTCGTGTAAGGAGGTCATCCTCCTGCTACGGCGCATGCCGCTGGCTTTGGAGGGTCTAAATCCGCTTGCGGCGCAGCTGCTACACACCTCGCCTCTGGTGCGCCAAGCTGCTCTGGAGCTGATGCGCCGCGTGGAAGTCTTCCCGCCTGGCAGGGCTGCCATTGCGGCGATGAACAGCTTTCTGTGCATGGTGTACGAGGCGGCGTCGCGGGATGCATGACATCACTTTGGCGGAATGGCGTATTGAGGTGATGCCTCAACGTGTGATGACGGTGTGCGTGGGTGTTGCGGTGACTGCCGCGCGCGGTTGCAAATAGTTGTAGAGTCCAGTGGACGTTGCTGTTGTGGTTGAGGCACGGCTTCACTCCGCTCCCGACCTCCCCACCTTGCTGGCACCCTCTTTATTGTGTCCTCTTGCTTAATGTTTAATGCCCCCCCCCCACGTTCGCTGTAACCGTCCTCCCATTCTTCACCCTTATTATTTACTTCTGTGCTTCCCACTTGCGCAAGTGCATACACACACACATATATATATATATATATATATATATCTTTTGTCTATTTACATATAGCTCACTATTTGCATTGCCCTGCACTCCGATGGACCGGTGGGTTGGGAGTGTCGAGACGGTCGCGGA